ACCAATATTGGCTGATAAAATCAGAGGCTTGACCTATTCTAGAAATCTGATTTTTGAGGCACTTTCAAGGTTCACAGATTATGTAAACAATTTCTCAGACTCCGTCAAAATTTATCAATTACAAGCTCGCCTTGAAAAAATACAGATTTTATAGGGTGAATTTGCCGGTGTTCAGGGAGATTTAGAAATTTTTGATAGAAGAACATCACACAATGAATTCAGGGTTAAGTTCGAGGATGAGTTCTTTGAATCAACTGGTGAAGCTAAAGCACTAATTGATACGCACTTTAGAGAATTGGCGCGACAAAATGCGCTCGCATCAAATATACCAATTCAAAATTCAAACACAAACACAAATGTACAAAACACTTTATCAAACGCAAATTTACCAAAAATTAAGTTACCAGAATTTTATGGGTCTTATGACAAGTGGCTTCAATTTGCAGACACTTTTAAATCGCTTATTCATAGCTCATCGCAAATCAGCAAAATTGAAAAATTCTGGTATCTCAAATCATGTTTGAAAGGGGATGTTGCTAATGTCCTTAACTCATTGGAGGTTTCAGAAAATAATTATGACAAGGCTTGGCAAATTTTATGTCAACGTTATGAAAATAAGAGAGCAATTATTCATACTCATTTAAAGGAACTTTATGCCATTCAATCAATCCCAGCAACCAATACAACTCATTCCGTGCAAGGTTTTGGTAACAGTGTAACCAAAATATTCTCAAGTGCTAATTTAAGCGTAAAGTCAAGAATTAATTCATTTCAGTTAAATAATATTTCATTTCTAATCACTAACAATATTACTCCCAATTTGCCTACGTTTAGATTTAATTCTAAAGAATTAGATATTCCTAAAAACCTCACTCTTGCTGATGACAATTTTAACGATCCTGCTCCAATAGATTTACTTTTAGGAGCCTCCATCTTTTGGAACTTATTGTGTGTAGGTCAAATAATTCTGTCTAATAATCAAACAATAATGCAGAAAACAAAATTGGGATGGATTGTTTCGGGTTCTCTCCCAACTAATAATAATTCAAAAACTGTTTTGTGCAATTTAACAACTATAAATGACAACATAAATAAACAATTGCAAAAATTCTGGGAAGTCGAAGAAATTCCTTGTAAGCATTGTAATTCTTTGGAAGAGGATGAATGTGAAAATCATTTTATAAACACCACTTATCGTGAGCCCTCAGGCAAATTCGTTGTTAATTTGCCCTTCAAGGAAAACATAAATCAAATAGGTTATTCTTTTGATATGGCCCTAAAACGTTTTTACGCTTTAGAAAGGCGTCTTGAGAAAAATCCTGAAATGAAGGCTCAATATTCCTCTTTTATCACTGAATACGAGAAACTTGGTCACATGACGAAGGTTACTGATTCGTCCAATTCACAAACTCCCAACACAAACGAATTTTTCCTTCCGCATCATGGAGTTTTCAAAGATTCCAGTATCACGACGAAGTTAAGGGTGGTATTCGATGGATCCGCGAAAACTTCCAGTGGAGTATCATTGAACGATACTCTTAAAGTCGGTCCCAAATTACAGGACGACTTATTTGATTTAGTCATTAGATTTCGAACATATCAATTCGCCTTCACAGCTGATATTGAGAAAATGTATCGTTGTGTGATGGCAGAACCAAGTCAACGAAATTTTCAGAAAATTTTATGGCGATCTGACTCATTTCATAAGGTTGAACAGTTCACCCTAAATACAGTCACTTATGGCACAGCTAGTGCGTCTTTTTTAGCTATAAGAAGCCTACAACAAATGGCCATTGAGAATCAAATTCAGTTTCCTGATGCTTGTGAAAAAATTATGTCATCATTTTATGTTGATGATTTTCTTTGTGGTTCGGACTCAATTGAACATGGTCAATCCCTCATAACACAAATTATTCAAATTCTCCAATCCGCAGGCTTTAATTTAAGGAAATGGGTAACAAATCATGACGCTTTACTCAGCAATATTCCCGAGGTTTGTTCCTCAACCGAGAAATTCATTTCTGGTGATCAAGAAACAAAAACTCTCGGTCTAACTTGGGATTCACAGCAAGACACATTCCATTATAGCATTCAGGTACCTGAAAAGCTTCAGGTCACAAAACGTATCATGCTTTCCACTACAGCTCAAATTTTCGACCCCATGGGTTTAATAGGACCCTGTGTAATCAAGGCTAAAATCATGCTTCAAATGTTGTGGCAACTAGGGCTCGACTGGGACGAAAGTGTGCCCATGGATTTACATGAAAATTGGCTTCAATTTTGTAATAAACTTCCACTTCTCAATGAAATTAAAATTCCCAGGAAACTCATTTTGCCCAAGTCCGTAAAAATAGAATTTCACGGTTTTAGTGATACCTCCATGAGAGCATACGGGGCCTGTTGCTACTTGCGATCGATTGATTCATCTGGAGATTTCCATGTTGCTCTGGTATGTGCAAAGTCCAGGGTAGTACCGTTAAAGACATTGTCTTTGCCCCGTCTAGAGCTTTGTGGGGCTATTTTATTGATTAAATTGACACAACGGCTTATAGAGTCATTAAGAATAAATATTGATGAATTTTATTATTGGACAGATTCCACTATAGTTTTATCGTGGATATCTTTGCAACCTAATCAATTAAATACATTTGTTTCAAACAGAATTTCCGAAATTCAGCGGTTTTCTGAAATTAATCAGTGGCGGCACATTCCTCCAGAAGTGAATCCAGCTGATATAATTTCGAGGGGCATAGATCCTGATAAGCTTCAAAATTGCAACTTATGGTGGTCTGGGCCCCCGTTTTTAAAATTCAGCGACGGTGAGCATTGGCCAAAACATATGCCGCATTTATTGCCTTCTGATATTTCGGAACAGAAAAAAATTAATTTTACTTTCCTCTTGCAAGCAAACATGGACATTTTTTTTATGGAAAATTTTTCATCATTTACAAAATTGCAAAGATGTCTGGCTTATTGTTTACGTTTCCTAAGCAATTGTCGAATTAAAACAATCAATCAACGTTTTTTTGATGGCCTTTCTAAATTAGAACTTCAGAATGCTACAATAGCCCTTTGCAAATTAACCCAATCACATTATTTCTCGAACGAAATTAAATGTTTAAAAAATTCTCTAACCTTATCATCTAAAAGTTCAATTTTACGTTTAAATCCCTTCTTAGATAAGGATGGCCTCATTCGAGTAGGCGGACGTCTCAAATATTCTAATTATTCATTCAATTTTAAACATAAAATATTGTTACCAAGCAACTCACATCTCACCAAACTTATCATTCTTTATGAGCACAAAAGACATCTTCATGCAGGTGCTCAAATGACACTTTCAGCTATAAGGCAAAATTTTTGGCCAATTAGCGGTCGTAACGCAGTACGAAACATACTGCGTAAGTGTGTAATATGTTTTAAGGTAAGTCCTATATCTGTTGCCTATCAGATGGGAAATTTGCCTACTCTTAGAGTAACACCCCATCGACCATTTCTTAGTACAGGTGTGGATTTTGCTGGACCTTTTTTAGTTAAGGACGGTAAAGCCAAAAGCAGAACTTTGGTAAAAACGTATCTTTGTGTTTTTGTTTGCTTTGCAACCAAAGCCTCTCACCTGGAATTGGCTGGAGATCTATCTTCGGAAAGTTTTCTGAATTGCCTCAAAAGATTTGTTTCACGCAGAGGCATTTGCTCAAATCTTTATTCCGATAATGGCACTAACTTTGTTGGTGCAGATAATGATATAAAAACTGCAATTAAACAAATCAAAAAAGATAAACGGTATCTAGAGTTTTTGTCAACAAATCAGATTACTTGGCATTTTTCACCTCCTTATGGCCCAAATTTTGGTGGCTTATGGGAATCGTGTGTAAAACAAGCTAAACATCTTCTAAAAAGAATAATCGGAAATTGTCATTTAACCTACGAGTCTCTCTCCACTGTATTCATTCAAGTCGAAGCTGTTTTAAACTCCCGACCATTGGTACCATTATCTAGCGATCCTAATGATTTATGCGCTCTAACACCATCGCATTTTCTTATTGGGGAAGCAATTACTGCCTTGCCTCAAACTGATGTTCGTGATATACCTGAAAATCGCCTTTCTCATTTCAAACACCTTCAGCAGCAGTTGCAACATTTTTGGCAACAATGGTCAACTCATTATATTAGTACGTTACAAGAGCGTACAAAGTGGAACAAGCAATATGAAAATGTACAATTAGGGACATTAGTTGTGTTAAAAGACGACAATTCAGCTCCGTTGTGTTGGAAGCTAGGTAGAGTTGTCGAACTATTTCCCGGAAAGGACAATATAGTTCGTGTTGTGAACATTCAAACCAATCATGGTATTTTGAAACGACCAGTGTCAAAAATTTGCGCATTGCCGATAGGCAATTTATAGATTTAAGTTTTCTATGTTTTGTATTATTTAGTTTTATTAATATTATCATCATTTACTGTTTATTTTTATAGTTTAAGCCTAGTTCATCTCGTATTTTTGAGAGTTGGCATAGGTATTTTGTAGAACATAATGTTTAATTTCATTTTGAAAGTTAGCCCTTTCAAAGGGGGCGGTATGTTTGGTAGAGTTTATTTTTTATTTCTATACTTTTAGAGTTCAATAACAATGAGTTCGCATGCCGACAGCCTGGCACCAAGTTTGGGTGCCTGGGGCTATAAAATACAATTTTTTGTTTCTTTTTATTGTATTCACTCGGGTTTGCACCGGTCTAGGTATCTAGGTCATCCTTACATCCCCATGTTATTTTATATTTTTGAAGATAAAAACGAATTTAAGTATTAGTCTTGGCTTAGCTGTGTTACAGTCACAAGCAATTGTACTCAATTTTTATTTAAACTTTGTTTAAAATCTTTCAAGAAATTTTGTATATATACCTATTCAAGTTTGGGTATATATGCCTATACTTATTCAATCAATAAATTAAGGATTACCCAAGTAACACAAAACATACATTAGATGTTTATTTTTTATCTAGATCATACATCTAGATACTGTATCGTTCGACGTCATATAGACGTCTACATGTCCGCCAGATAAACGTCTATGAATAATCTATGTCCTACTGAAAATCGATGTATTTTTTAAATCAGATTTAGACGTTATATAATACGTGTTTTTAGACGCATTATATTGAGTGTTTTTAGACGTCTTTTATATGTCTTTGTTAAATATACACTGTGGGCCAAATTAAGTTGGAACACAATTTGACCAATAATAACTTTTATGTCTGTTTATGGATTTTAATGATTTTTGGATATGATATTAGTCAATATGTTTTTGTTGCAACCTTAAAATTAATTTGACCAATTTTGGTCAGGTCCGGACTTACGACGATTTTATTAAATCGGTGTATTTAAGTTCGTTGCAAAAATGAACTGCACTATAGTGCAGTTTGTAAGTATTGAAGAAATTGATTGTGGATGAAGCCCCCTTCATTATCGACTACGGTCTGTAAGCGTCTTCTCCATTGGCTATGATCCGTTGACTGGCATTTGAATAAAATATTGACATTGATAAATAATTCAAAAATAAAAAATGCCTGACAGTTTTCAGTGACCGAAAAGGTGGGAGGTAGGGGTCAACTTGCAAGACAAAAAAACAACTTTCCACATTTTCTTTGCTCCGCTACGCGTCGTTCGGTCAAATGCAATCGCGTGCGGTAAAGTGACACTTTCCGAACTAGTTAGGAAATATACTATTGAATTAAACAGCTTAATGAAATGTCAAAAATTTGACAATTGTCTGATTCCAAAGCAATCTGGATTAAAGTAATGTAAAATTTCCTATTTGAATTACATATTAGTCAAAAAAATCATAGTTTCTCAGGTTTTGGTTCTAAAATATTTATATTTTCAGGATTTGTTTTCCCATAAATGTCCTTCTAAAAAATAATAATAGTTGGTTTGTAAGTAGTGCAGTTCATTTTTGCAACGAACTTAAATACACCGATTTAATAAAATCGTCGTAAGTCCGGACCTGACCAAAATTGGTCAAATTAATTTTAAGGTTGCAACAAAAACATATTGACTAATATCATATCCAAAAATCATTAAAATCCATAAACAGACATAAAAGTTATTATTGGTCAAATTATGTTCCAACTTAATTTGGCCCACAGTGTATATTTTAATTTTTTATAGATGTTTTTTAAACGTCCTTTATTTTTTTCATGCCTCTTTATGGGCATATTTTCTTCAAAAAAAAAAAATAACTATTATAAAAATGGAGAGCTGAAAGTAATTGTCAGTTTTAGTCGTGTTATTCAGGCTTTTTGTGATTCTGAGTTACTTAATTTTTTTTTGCAAGCATAATCTGTACGAACATGGATGTATACCTACTATAATTGGTCATAATAAAAAAACTATACCTACATTAATCGGGGATAGCTATATTACTAAAATTTTCATTACAAAATTATATTTATTAATTTAGTAACTTAATTGAGATGATTTGTATATGAAACAAATATATTTATATACGAATTATATTGTTTTTCTTTGTGCCGCCAATCTTAGCCAGTCCTTCATGGCTTGATTAATGACCTTATCATTCATATCCGAAGGTTTTCCATTTCCAGAAGAAAAGCAAAGCTCAGTGGCTTCTGAAAATTAAATAATCAGTTTTACTATCGACCCTATACTTACTTAATATTACCATAAATGACATCTTTTAACTTGGTGGCTTTGAAGGCTTTCTTATTCTGGCCTGCCCAGTTAAACTTCGTCGCTAATCTATTGGTGATGCAAAATTTTAACATGCCCATTACTGTGGTTCTCACGTTAAGGCCCCCAATACACGCTAGACGATTTTTCTAAAAAAATAAAATAAAAATAAAAATAGATCTTACAGATAGGTACCCACATATCAACTTATCAAACTTATTCATTTAGGGCCAAATTATGGACCAATTGAAAAGTGTCAGGTTGTTACCTAGCAGGTACTTTCTATTCTCTAGAGCATGGAAAGTTCCTGCTAGGTAATAACCTGACACTTATCAGTCGGTTCATAATTTGGCCCTTAGAAAGGTTAGTAGTTTGCTTACCAAATAAGTGTGCATTGGCTCATCCAATAGAAGTTCTTCCAGTTTTTGGAAATCTGCTTTCCTGTCCACAGGCAGTATCGGAAACTCTTCTGGTTTTGACACGTGCTTTAGTTTACTTTCATTCAGAAATTTCCACATCTGGTCGATTTTAAGAGTGTTCTGATCTTGTACTTCAGTAAGTTTCTGCAAATGCTGAATAACAGTTGCCTCGAAACCTTTTTTTGGAGTTGTGGAGGAAGATGATGTACTTGGAACACAACTTTGGGTAGCAATTTTGTCATTATTAGGTTTTGAAAATCTGCTTTGTGAAAAATTCAGGGTATTATTCTGGGGAAGAATGACATTTTGCAAAACCCGTATTTTTTTTTTAGGCTCCGTTGCAACATTTGAATTTGTCCTAAAATTCAATAAATTGTGTTATTATTTTTCCTTTTCCTATATTTATAAGAATTTGCTATACATGCATCCTAACGATTGGGAATCTGAATTAATATTTTCATTGCTTCAAATAGATTCAATATGGTTATATTATTAAATTTAATTTTAGTTCTTGATCTAAGCAATTAGGTTTTGAAGAATTCCCATGTCTCTCAGAATTTGTATTATAATAATAATAATGTTTTTTATGTATGAATTTTTTGTATCTTGTCATTCAGATGCCCTACCATCTTACTCATAGTTAAAGGTTTTAGTAAATTCAAAGACTTACTCCTTGACCCTCGCGTTCTTTGAAGATTCCGCCTTTGAAGGAAAATTATTCCAACTTTCATCTTCAGATGCAGCGAAAGTTGTTTTGAGTTTTTCAGTTACTTTGATAGTGCTGGGTGTATTGTATCCTTTATGCGATTTTTCATCATCATCACTACTGGAAGAATTGGGCCACACGTTATTTTCTCTGCAGACAATTTTTTTCTTTTTGGCTTTCAAGACTGTTTTTTTTCCTCTTGATGCACTACAAGTTTATGAGGGAGATTTGATATTAATAATTAAAATTTTGTAAGTACAATATTAAATTATTACCTGGATTTACTAGAATCTACTTTTAAAGTTTTCTTTCTTTTTGCCAAAGGTAAGTCCTCGGAAGAGTCAGAGGAGTTTTTGGATGGAACATCATCTTCATCCATCAATTCATTTATATTTGGATCACTTTTACTGGATAAAAAAATATATATGTAAGTTTAAATATTGTTTAATATTTTTGCTGTTATTATATATTAATTAATTTTTTTAGGTATATACCTATTATGAAATTCAGAACCCCTTTCCGTCATGTCATCACTTGAATTCCCTGAATTCCTATTCATTATTTCTCTTCGAACTAAAGAAGACGTCAGACAATTCACTGATTCGGAATTAGTAGATTCTTCAATAATTTGTGATAGTCTTCTTTCACAATTTTCAATTCCCTCTAAAACATATATAGAGATTTTATTGACTAAAATTTTATTCCAGAATGGACTTCAGAACTAGAGTTATCTAAATTATAACTATATTAATAAAATTTAGAACTTAGAACTACTCTAACTACACAGAATAAGCAACTTCATCATGGAAGGTGCAATAAAACGTTATGCAAACCTAAGCCTGCTATATTCAAATATATTATTATGTAGGGTACACAAACCTAAAGTATCATGAATTTTGATAATCATATGCTGGGACCAATCTTCCTTGGGTGGAGCATATTCAGAAACCAACCTTGGAATATTAGCTTTAGGCCAGAAGCAATTATTTCCACATATCCACGTCATTGGAACAATCGCACAATCTTTTTTCTCAAATTCAACAATGGCATATGTTTGCGCCATTATTATTGCTTAATCTTCTGCGTCTATGAGGATTGGATATAAACGGGAAGCTTATAGATTGAGGAAAAGTCTCACTTAAAATACCAATTTTAAAACGCCGTTATTTCAAGTAATATTCGGTAATAACAATTAAAAATTTAATCAATGTAGGTACATACTATAATTATATGGGTACTTAATTTGAACTTTCGTTTTATTGAAATAATTTTTTGACAACCATGCGTAACTATATATTATTATATACCCAAAGTAGGTTCTTAGATAATTTTATAGTCAATCCATAAAATATTACTTTACGTACCTACCGACGTCTTGAGACATAAGCCACTACTAAAAATTGTGTACTACTCCCAAATAATTCCAGATTTAGGTTTTAGTAGAAAGTATTTGCGAGTAATTTGTTGAAACGCTGAGAATATATTTTGAACAATAAAATGTACTCTATTTACCTATCCAATGAACCAATTACATATTATACAATTAACTCCTAATTTAAATTTATAGTAGGTAAGCAAAATTTATTTTTTGATACTCCTATGCTATAACACAATAAATATATTCTCAGCACTTCCACTCTCCAGTCTCGGCTTGGCCCTGAATTAAAATATACAGGGTGGGACACGAAAAACTGCCCACCCAGATTTTTTCAGGTGTTAGGTGATTAATCAAAAACCGCTCGGACACGTCAACTTTTGTTTTTGGGGGACACATTTCATTAGTACTTTCACCCCCTATCTGTCAACCCCTAAGTGGGGGTGACAGGTACACCCAAAATTTCAAATGAAAAGGGAGGTCGAGTGATAGGTCATTTGATAGCTATTTTTATTAAGATTATATCCACAGAAGTTTTAAGCTGCTACTATTTACCCTGCCGAAATGGTGGCTTGTCAAAGTTAGGAAAAATGTATGCTTCAACTGATACAGTGATTCTATCTTGAATTGAATCAACATGAACCATTTCAAGCTGAACTGTTGAATAACAATACTTAAATTAAATAACAATGTTATTTTGTTACTATGGATAACAAAATATGCTGTTTCGTTATTATGAGGTGAAAACCACACAGTCTAGGTATTCGAAAAAATGCATTTTTCCCAACTTTGACAAGCGCCATTTCGGCAGGGTAAATAGTAGCAACTTAAAACTTTGGGGATTTAATCTTAATAGAAATAGCTATCAAAAATGA